ATCTCATCTTGAGTCAAATAAACTACTGTCAGACAATCAATACGGTTTTTGATCCTCTCGCTTTACGGCCGAATTACTAACTGCTGTAACTGAAAGATTTTATCGTGCATTAGATGGAGGCAGTGAGGCTAGGGCTATTGCTGGTCTTCTCCATAGGCTTGCTTCATATGGTGTTTCTGGGAAAGTTTTTGAGATTATCAAATCATTTCTTTCTAACCGGTTTATTAAAGTCCTCCTTAAAGGCCAACACTCTTCTTTATTTCCAGTAACTTCTGGGGTTCCCCAAGGTTCCATCCTGGGCCCTGTTTTGTTTCTTATCTACATAAACAATCTTCCTGACAACCTTTCATCTAAAGTAGCTCTTTTTGCAGATGATTCAACTTTATACTCCTGTCTTGACAAAAAGTCTTCTCTTTTCGATCACCTAGAACAAGCAGCTGATCTTGAATCCGATCTCACTTCAGTAATAGATTGGGGTTCACAGTGGCTTGTGAATTTCAACTCTAACAAAACCCAGTTGTTTACTGCAAACAACTACCGTAATATGGTCAACATTCCTATATTAATGAATGGCAATCCTCTTACTGAGTCCTCCTCTTTAAGTCTTCTTGGATTATCGCTTACTACTGACCCTTCATGAAAACCATATATACAATCGATTGCTAAATTAGCTTCTGCTAAGATTGCTTCTCTTTATTGTCCTCGCCATTTCCTTACTTCTGATTCCATTCTCTACCTCTACAAATTTCTTATTCGTCCCTGCATGGAATACTGTTGTCATATTTGGGCTGGTTCTTTTAACTATTCACTTTCTCTTCTTGACAAGGTCCAAAAACCTAGTAACTCTCAACTTAATAGTGGTTGCTTGCAGCCTTGTTGGGAGTGAATGCAAATAATAAAAAAAAAAAAGCCTAATTCTACTCTATGGTTTTTACCTTGGTGTGCAGCTACTATATTCAATCATAATTATCTTTTTGTATCTTTTTTAAAAGAACAACTCTTTGAGAACAATTACCTTAATGCATGAAACCAATGTAAAAAATTGCTGATTAATCTCAGTTTACTTAATCTTATCTTCGAAGTACTTTAATCCAGAAGGTAATGTAAAAGACACCTTTATCAAAGAAGTGAGAAAAGACCAATGACTGTCACAAAGAAAATTATGAAAAAAATCCCATTCAACTTTAGGGTAGTAGTAAGAAGTGTTGGCTTCCAAAGAAGAAGAATGAGACTAAAGATTTATAGAGATCATTGCATGGTCGGGACTACCATTTTACAAATATAAAGTATTGTTTTAAAGCAAACAATGATATGATATACATGACCTACTGACACATAACAACAAAATTAATGATCAGTAACAATGGTAGAACAAGTAACCAAACTAAGCTAACTTGTATAAACGCACATAACTTGTTGCACATCATAAACTAACTTTTTGCTCAAGTTAACTCGGTGAACAAATTAGTCCCAAATAAAGAAGTCTAAAGAGTGCAATTTTTGTCAATAAATCTTATAAAACATACCTTATTCAATAAAATATGTATAATTAGTTATATAATTTTAATAAAACCTACTTAACTTTATATAATTTAAAGAATAAAACTAAAAATTTTCTCTTTATAAACAATGAATAAAAGTAAATCATCGCTAAGTTTTGCTAATATAAAAACATTTGATTGAAAATATATGGTAAGTTTTCCATAAAACAACAATGTATTTCCCAATGGAACCAGTGTACTCCTGCATTAATAAAAAAATCTAAGAAAAAATATCCACTTGTTACGGATTTTTTACTGCTCAACAGAATTCAACTTAAAAATATATTGTTGGAGTGTATTTCTTTATAATTTCTCTCTGTACTGTAGTTGTCTTCAATATATAATCACTTTAACGAACAAGTGGTTTGATTTTTACTTTATTTATTATTTACCTATCTTATACTTATTTATTATTGTGTTATTAATGTTACATTTTATCTTATTATTATCTATTATCATCTATGATTTGTACATACAATTTATATTGTATTATAATATTCTTAATATTATCGGTACTTTATTATTATTGTTATTATTTTGTATTATTACTATTATTATTACATATATCATTATTTGTTTTATTTATTTATTCTTTCATCTTCTTTCATCTTCTTTCATTCTTCATCTTTATTTATTTTCATTATTATTTATTTGTTTAACAATCTTTTCTTTTTTTCTCTCTTATTTATATATACAGATGTTGAGTTTTTCCTTTTTTTTTTTTTTTTTTTTCTGTTTGTTTGTTTGTTTGCTTTTGTTTCTTTTTTTTTCTATTTATTTATTTTTTCGTGAATTTTTTATTTTTTTTAGGTGTCACTCCATTTACTAGTTTGTAACTATATGAGTGACACCTAACCAATTTATATTAATTTACGATTAAATTTGTAAATTTTATTGATATGGTTAAATAAAAGAAAAAAAAAAAAAAAAAAAAAAAAAGATTTTTCACAAATTTAATTGTTTCAGTATGTCAAAACGTTTCAGACATACATGGAAACATACATAAACTTGAATGTTCTTTAAACATCTAAAAAGCAGTCGCCAAATTATAGCAATTGATTATAATTTATTTTGTCTGGAATAGAGTGCAATTGACCCATTTCTTGAGCCTGTTTTTTACTTTTTATTTTTATGCTAATTCAGCGCCCCAAGGCCGTAAAGGCCACTACAGTTAAGAAGGCTACATTAATTGTGGTTACAAATTATATCTGTACTCCAAAACATAAACCTTGATAATTAAGGCTGCTGCGCTGAAAAGAAAGTTGAAAAACAAGTAAAAAACACTCTTTTTCATTTTTTACTTATTTCAAAAAAGTAAGTTTCTATACAAATTAAAAAAAATATATCATTTAACTCCTTTTTAAATCATTAAATGCTTTGTTTTACCATTTTTTTACATTTAATTGTATAAACCAATAATAAAGATAAAGTATTTAAAATGTTAAGTAAATAAAGTAAACAATTCTTTTAATAAATTTTTATACTGTTTTTGAATGAAATACATCTCTTAACGTTCAGATTTCTTATACCCAGTGCCGTACCCAGCCGTAATCTTATACCATTTTACCGGTATGGGCGCCCAAACAAATGGGCCCAAACTAAAAACTGCACTTATCTTAAATTACAACATTTGCAAAGTCTAACATCATTTCATAGAAAAAACTGTCACTCTCTTTTCAATTTGTTTTCATTTGTATTCTTTCATATTTATAAAATTACTTACGACGACATTCCTAAAACTAAATGCACAGCTAACCACAATTTTTTGTCGTTATCTGTGATACTAGATGTAACACTTTAAGTATAACAACTGGTTACGTATTACTATTATTAAGTTAATTAATAATTAAACATAAAACATGTCAATATAAACTTTAGTATAAATTTCAATCAGATGCATGATATGGAAGCCTCCATATCAGCCCTCCTCCATGGAGCCTGGTATGGAGGCTTCCATATCAAAGAGGTTGGGGAGAGGAAAAAATTTGTATAAACGGTAGCGCCAAAACTAAAGCTCAGTATGGCACTGCTTATACCATTTCCTATCAGTTTATTTTTTTAAGTAAGGTGCATACATATATTTTATATATATACTGGCTTGTGGAGCCAAGACCGATCCGGGGAGCCACTGTTTTTTAGTGAAGCCGCAAAAATCCAGGCTATTGTGTTTTTTTAAAGGAGCAGTTTTTCTTATTGTAGACAAATTTATTTATTGTTTGACAAATTTTTTGAATAAATTATTGAATTTTATATTTTTTTTAAATATTTTTTTAAACAGTAAGTCTTGCCAAAACGTGATAAAAAATTATAACAATTTGGTACTCAACAAAATACTATCCTTTAATAGCATTTCTGAACATGCTTATTACAAAAAAAAAAAAAAAGTTAAGTATATATGGAAACATTTGTACAGTATTACATAAATTCCTTAATTTTTTTATAATGATATTTGATTTTTATAATGATATTTGATCTTTATATTGATATTTGTATTTTTATATTGAGTCTTTTAAATGTCTTTAGAGCGTTTTTAACGTCTTTGGAACCATTTGGACGTCTAAATCTAATTAGTAAAAGTGGGTTAAAATGAATTGCTGTAATTGATTTGGATTTGGATGTGATCAAAAAAAAAATTCCAAAATTTGTAATTTTTGTTCACAAAGTATGGGAGCAAAGTCGGGAACGAAGCCAGACATTTCTTAAAAGGTGGTTTTTACTACTAAAGCCTGTCTATTGCTTCTTTGATATAATTGATGCAAAATTTTATTATGAATATATTTGATAATATTAAACCATGGTTCTTTGATCTGGTAAAGATGTATATAAAATATGACCAGTATTTAATTTGAATAGTAAATACCTGTATTCAATAGTTGAAAAATTGTTAAATATATTTGTTTAGACTTTATTTTCCCACAATAGCTTTCAGTCCCTAAAGATTTCCAAAAAATGTTTTGACGTTTTTTTCTTTTACTTGGACCAACTGTTTTTTTTTTAATCTCCTTCTTTATTCTCAAGAATTCTTTTATATTAGAACTGTTTCTTTGCAATTTTTTGTGACTTTTAGTGCATCCTTTCTTAGTTGATTAAAAGAAAAAACTCCTTATGAAATTGTGCCAACCTTTAAACCAGATAAACTTAATTAAATAAGTTTTAATAAACACGTTACTTAAAATTATGTTAAGAAAAATTATCATATTTTTATAATTTACAAAACACTATAACAACACTATTAAGTTTTTTATAAAACTTTTTTATTTGAGGATTAAGACCATAGGTTACACTATAACCAACTTAGTTTAGCCTTATTTAAATAGTTTGCAATTCGACTGTCAAGAAACATAGCATGGAAATTAAATATTATAGTCTTAATTTTTGAATAATAATTTTAAAGAAAAAATGTCAATTCCACAAAATAAAATACTTATTATTAATTACTACTAATTAAAACATAATTACTAGTTAATTCATCTATTTTTCTTATTAAATCCATTCTATCCATGTTCCTTAAAGCTGTTTTTAATTCCTCAAGTGTTGGATTATCATTCATTTGCATCCACGTAGTTATCATTTTATATGCTTTTTCAAGGGTGTTGGGTTTATCGTGATCAATTGTGTCAATACAGTTTTCTTCGATATTTAACCAAAGTCCAAGAACTTTCCAATCTACTCCAACGCTTTTACTAAATTTTAACTTAAACTCTTGGTTATAAAAAATGTTTTCATGTTTCTTTGGATATGCATTATTTTGTGCCATTTTGATTTTTCTACAAAAAAGAAATGTATATATATATATATATATATATATATATATATATATATATATATATATATATATATATATATATATATGTATGTATATATATATATATATATATATATATATATATATATATACAAACAAAGAGATGAAAAATTCAACCACCCTTTTAAAGTATTTATGGCAGATAAAAAAAAACTTAAAAATAACACCCAAATTAACGGTTGTGTTTAGATCATATCCCATTCGGAACGATTATTTTTGTTTGCGTATTTATAACAGCAAGGTAGATAAAAGATAAAAAAGCAAGCGAGATAAAAACAATGGTAAATATTTAGTTTTCTAAATGACGTTGAAGCATTATTAAATTTACGTTACACTTAAATAACGCGCTATTTAATAAAAATATAGAATAACAAAAAGCAATGCTTAAAAATGTTTTAAGTACCAAAAATGCACTATATACTGCTTAAAATAACGGTCTCTAATTTTAAATAATTTTTTTTAGGGTAAAACCATCAATTCCTGGCCGCCTAATTTTAAACTGCGTCATATGTTACCGCAAATGGCTTAGATTCTTGAAAATATTTCTAAACTCTTAAAAATCCTCTTGAGATACAAGTTATGACAAGTTTGGTAATTTTTGTTAATAAATTAGTTATAATAATTTTTAGTACAAATATTACTAGGCATAAAAAACACCAAATCATGGCCAGAGATACAAAACATGGACATTGCGAACTTATTCCTGACCATTACGTTTTACGAAGTAAAAGTAGTGATAACATTTTTAAATTTAAATAAAAATTAAAACAAATTTATTGTAAAGAGTTTAGTAAAGAAGTTCTGCATAAATTTTTACTTTTATAAATTTCTTTTTTTTAAAAGGTAAACAAACAATAGGTTTTAAAGCTAACTAAAATGTTCAAACTCAGATAAAATAACGTTGCGTTAATCTTATGTAACAAACTGAGGATCCAATTATGAAAGTTGGATTATACTTTCATTTTTAAAAACTTGGAAAGCCACTAACTCAATATTTAAAGCAAAAAACTTCTTTTTTTGTGGCCAGGATTTGGTGGTGGCTATATATAGGTGGTTTTATTATAACGAATATTTTCTTTTTGAATGTTTACACAATTTTTTTAGCTTGTATTTCATTGAAAATATTCATTTCAAATATTATTTAAAAATATTATTAGAACTTTTTTTTGTGTTATAAGTTAAAAAACTGCTTTTAACTCATAACGTTTTGAATTTGACATCAATACCGCTTAAGCGAGTTGGACGTGCCTGGTTAATACACAGTTATGTTTATAATTTTATATAATAAAGTTATATACTAATACAAACTTTTTTTATAACTTTTTTCAATTTAAAAAATTTATTGACATCTGGAGCACTTCCAATGATTGCCATAATTCTTATTTTTGAATATGTTTGTTGGTATGTTTTGGCATCTTTTATGGAACCATTCACTGCAATTTGAGCACTGTGCCATGAAAAGGCCTTTGTCTGTCTCGACGTCAGAATCAAAGAAAGACATCCTACATGAACAAAAAATATCTTGAAGGACTATTTTTTGTCTTCCTCGTTTAATTCGTTTACTAAACGAAGCTTGTGGAAAAGTACTCATTAAATTTTGTCGAAAACAATCAACTAGATGTGCCCGCATTTTAGTATGGTCATAGTTTGAATCAACTGGATTTATCCCAAAGAGAATATCTGTTGCATATGCTATCGCAAATAAGCCGCAATCTGAACCATTTTGTTGTTGTTGTGTGGGCTCAATTAAAATACGTAGTATGGATTCATTGCAGTTTACAACATGACAAATTTGTTTAATTGAGGTATGGTGTAAAGGATTACTAGATAAGGAGTCAAAAACTTTAATATTATTCGATGTTTCTGCCGCAAATGTTATCCAATGGTTGTTACTGTAGATTATTTGTATCCTGCTTGACTTTAGCTTGGACATTTTAAGCAAAGGACCTAACCCAGTATCTTCCAAGCCTTCCGCAAAAGGAAATTGCTTGTGGAGCAAAAGTTGAGCATGGTTAATTTCATTACAGGTTAACCAATCACCACTTTGTATTACTTTTTCCATATTGGAGTCGAATATTGAATGAAATCGATAAAACTTAAGTTCTCCCGGTCTCCCTTTTTTTAATTGAGTAATTACCAACTCTTCTTCTCCAGTTTCCATCTTATCTTCAACATGCTGTTTTTCTTCTTCGCAAATTTCAATGATGATGTCCTCTTGATCAGAGGAGTCAGTATTGAGCTCCAGATTTGCTCTGTAACATTGTTTCATCATTTCAGCTGTCTGTCCACACCTTCCACTAAACGGATGCTTTCTTTTTCTGGCGAATAAATTTTTAGAAGACAAGTTACTTTTTGGTTTTAAAATAGATTTTGATGTTAAGCTGGTTTTTGATTTAAATTTTTTTATAGGGGAGTCCCTTTTTATTAATCCTGATGGTTGACTAAGATTTTTTAATATTAACGCTGTAATGGTATCTAAGTCTGTGTTCATATGATCCAAAATATTTTCATCTTTAACTAGATAGGTTAAATCCATTAATCTTTTTAATTTAGAGCGCGAATCGATTTGATAACATTTTGAAATTGGTTGGCGTGTTTTGAAGTCATTCGCGTAATGCTTGTTAAATAATTGTTTACTCTTATCTTTATTATCAAAATTGTTGACTTGTAAGTCAAAAATATTGTTGTCATTAGAAATACTATTTAGTTCATCGTCTATCTGCTGCTCGTTTTTGTTCTCAGTTGGTTTTGTATTACATTGAGCTTCTTTCTTTGACGAGTTAACAAAAATTTCGGGATCCAGAACGGACCAACTATGATTAAGAAACTTGGTAGTAAGATTTTCAAATGTTGACATTCCAGATTTAAACACGGCAAAAAAATGTTTACAAATTATTCGATGACGACGATAATCTGAACAAGAACAGGAACAAAACTTATCCTCGTTACCTATGCACACAATATAATCGTTAATGTTATTAGTTTTAACTTCGGAACTATTGACCCCGAATGTTATCGGGTCTATTCTTTTAACTGAATTTACCATCGAAGATGTTACTTTGCTTTCGTTATTCAATAAAATATTTACAAGTTGTTTTGGGCGATTTCGAAAATACGACGGCACTCCATCATTATATTTTTTATAACCTTCACTGTACCTTACGTTCAACTCCACGTATTTACGATAATGCTTTGGTATGAAGTTTTCAATAACAACTGTAAGCATCTCACTGAGTGAGCAATATTTGTAGTTAGCAAGGTCGTCGTATTTTAGATCCTCGTTTAATCGCTCAGTGCCATTGTTGGTATTATTAAACATCATGTCATCAGGTCTATAAGCCAGACACCATCTTTTTATCTCTGGTAACCACGTTCCGTGAAACCTTGATTAAAATAGCTATTCTAGTTATGTATTATAACACTTGTAGTCAATATATACACACTATATAAAAAAAAGCGTATAATAGCTCTACGACAATAACAAAAAAAGTTAAAACATAGAGTTATAAAAGTATTAAACTTTTAACAACAACACCTTATTAAACATTGCTAACATAATTATTTACAAAAAAAAAAAATTACCATTTTAGAAGTTTGTCTTTACAGAATTCCCAAGATAAGAACTCGGACGTAGCTTTTCGACATTCTTCTACATTTTCTGAATGCGCTATACGACGCAAGTATATTTTAACCTGTTGTGCAATATTTTGCACCCCATTATCTAATTTTGAAATCCAACGGTGCCAACATTGCTCACGATGAAAGTTGCATAAATACACCTTAATGTTAGGAAAAACTGATTCTAGCGAATAAATCTCTTCTTCGTCAAAGTCAACCATTGCATATTTAGGCTCAATATCAGGATTCCATGATTTTATTAATGTCAAAGCTTTTACGATCATGACTTGCGTCTCTTCCTGCAACACAAAAATTGCAACCACTTGGAAATTTACATTAGTCCTGACAACTAAAAAAAATAAAGGCAAGGAATACTTTGTAGTTTTATATGTTGCATCTAAACATATAAAATGCTCTGCATATCTTTGATACAAACGTTTCATTTTTTCAGACTGATAAACAAAAATCATTTTACCATCTGTATTATGAGTTGCAAGATTTTTAATTACTTTTTCGACCTCTTCGTCACTTTGCAAATCTATGTCGTTTTCCACTGTTTGAGCTTCGATGCGCTTGCTTAAACCCTCAAACCATATGTCACCCCATTTAGACCATTTATCTGTTACAAGTTGTTCAACATTTATTTGGTCTACTTTGGCATATCGATTTTTCAGCTTTTCGGATATAATAATATTTCTAAGTTTTCTCCGAGAAGGTGTATATCGGCGTCGGTGAAAATCGTTGTCGCTAAGCGTCGGTAAAATAACTAGATTAACATATCCTTCAGCTCTACTCTCTAAATCTCTTATGCCCTTACAACCACTTCTTATCTGTTCTCGTAAAAAATCATTTACTCTTTTGTCTAACGGTTCTATCAAACCAGCTGCTTCACCAATGTTATGATTTTCATGTGGTTCAGTAGGCCACTTCAACAAATAAACAAGTTGTCCGATTTGAGGAGAATTTTTTGATCTTGCTACTATAAACTGCTCTTTTAACTGCCTTCCTGCGTTAGTTCGATTATACTTATTGTTTTTAGGCAATTTAGTTTCATAAAAGATCATGATTTTTTTAACAGAAAAAGACACAGGGCAATCCATTTTTTTTGTCGGTTGCGTGTACTTACGCGATTTTTTGTACATGTGATCACTCATACGAAGAGCATCATTTTCCATTCGGTATCTTTCTTTTTTTTTAGCATCAATATCTTTACCTTGATGGCAGTGATAAATTTGTTTTCCAAGCAATATATAAGGGTGCCCACTATAAGGAATTGGTAATCTATCATTTGCCCCACAAAATTCCCAGCATGGTTTTGGTAAATTCTTTGATGAATTTAAAATGTCAATCAGGGAAACTAAACAGATTAAATAAAAAAATTAAACAAAATATTTTCGGATGCATTCCATGCTGTCTCTCACAACGTTAATATATGTGACTTAAAACATAAAATATTTATTTAATGAATTATGTGACATATCAGCACGTTTATGTCATAATTATTATTATTTTTTTTCAATTACTTAGGTGCTCTAAGTCCTAATGGTCTTGTCACAGAGCACCGCTAAATGGAGAACAGCATTTATTAAGTTGGCTCTCCGTTTCCAACTTTACCAATAACGTTTAAGTGCTTCGAGCGGGATCGAACCCACAACCTTTTGGTTACGAGTGCTATGCTCTAACCACTGCGCCACGGCTGCTAATCTAATAATAATCATTTCAATTATATCACATCTAGGTCAGAAATAAACTTTATTTATTTGAGCTTACCATCTTTGGAAAAATCTTTTGATTCCTTTGCGACACAATACTTTGTAATTGTTTCTTCTTCGTATGTCTGTATAGCATCTAACAATGAACTATAGCTCATAAACTGCAAAACATCTAAAAAAAAAAAAAATTGAAAAGGAGTTTTTTTTTTATATACTTGCATAGTAGTGTCCGGGGTTTTGGAGTCGCAAGTTTTTTATCACGGTTCGACAGGCTTACGGAGCAGAAAGTTTTTTTCATGGTTATGCTCCGGCTCCTAACAAATATACGGTTCTGGCTCGGCTCCCGAATTTTTTGTGCAATAATTACAAATAAATTTTTTTTTTTTTGTAATTCTATTTTCTCAAACATTAATCTCTTGCTTAATTAAACAGTAAAGTTTGCATATTTGAAAAAAAACTCAGGAGCTGCTACATTTTTGCGGCTCCTCTAAAAAACAGCGGCTCCACGGCTCAGGCTCCACAAGACTGGTAGTGTCACACTATCAAAAAAGTCGCACGATTACACAAAAGAAAACACCAAACAAAGTTTTGTATTAGTTTGATTTTAAAGTCTAAACACATTCCGCATTTCTTTTGAGGCCATGTCAAAAAATGATATGTTCTTAAGCGACGATGAAAAATAATATGTTCTCAAGCGTAAAAAAAAGTTAAAATACCTAATTGCTGCGATTGACAATTCACAAGTAAATTTTACAACACTTAGAGTAAGAAGTCATTTAGCCAAACAATTAGCAGGGAGACCATATGTGCGCAGCGACTGGATCCAAATAGGTAATCATTTATTATCCTCGGCGGATACGCAAATAGGGCTTAAATGGGTCCCAGACTATTCACTGGGCAACTTATAAGATTCCCTGATTTTATTCTCATAATTCAGCCATAAAATTTAGAGATAATAAACAACAGAATAAGTTTTTTTTTATATAAAAGCAAACCACTAAGTACAAAGAAACATTAAACGGAGAAACAAATATATTGTCCAACTCAGGAGCATTATCGTTGGTAGCGTATTTCTGAGAATATAATCGGCTGTTACTCACACAATCCGACGACTTTTGAAACCATAACAAAAACTTCATTTCTATTTCGCTTTTTGTGCAGCTTCTGTGCTTCGATTGAACTTAACAGCAACTAATTATAAAACAGTATATTAAAAGTACATAAAGAACCCACATTACCTGGTTTACAAACAAAAGGGATGAACCCAGACTTTTTAAAATAACGTTACAGCGGTACGGGCGCCCAAGAAAAATACCCGATTATTACAAAAGGGCCTAATGGATTATTATAAAGCGGCCTAATCGACCTAAAGACACATACCTAATTAGATTTACTAAAAACTCAATCCCAGTTAAACCCGTTGAACTTAAATCATTCCAGATAGCCAAAAATTGAAATTATATGTTCTACAACTATATAGGATACATTATCTTGTTTCTTAACCCTTAAATTAAACAGAATGAAGTATTCTAATAATAAACCAAGACTTAACTAGACTCTCTGCTCAGATTGATGCCATGCTTATAAAAACTACATAAAACTAAATAAATTAAATAACAGTTTATAAAAATTGTGCTTCATGATTACCATTTTATGATTATTTTTTTAATGATAAACATCTTTTCATAGCTAATAGCTTTTTTTACATTTTTTCTTTACTTTTGTTTGTGAGACAGCAATCAGTATTCTTCTTGAATTGATTGCTGCCTTGTTCTTTAAAGCTCTCAATGTTTTGTTCATAACTCCATTATAATATAGTCAACCAGTTTATCTGACTTATTTAAAACTGATATCTTATCCACCTCTACTGCTCACCCAACTCAGTATATTGAAATAACATGAGTAAGATCGAGGTAGTTAACTGTAGAAATCTCCATTGTAATTCACATGAGTATATTAAGCAGATTAATTGGTTGTATAATATTAGCAATGTTAGTCTTACTCAATTTTAATGTTACTGTCTTAATACTTTTAAATCAGGTTGTAACAAAAATCAACCTATACCAAACTGGCCAGATTATGTAAGCGATGCTCATAAGACTGCTAAATATGCATTCTGTCTATGACAAGCTTTACAAAAAATTTTAATCTTTTTTACAATGCTTTTATTTAATGCTTTAAAAAGAGCTTTATATAAATATGCCATTTGTCACTGTAAAAAAAGAAGATATTACAAATGAAGAAAAGCTGGCAAACAGTTAGGCAAAGGAGAACTATACTAGTTTATGGTATACCTTATGATTATTGACTATGCCTCAGTTCCTCCTAATCTATGTTACACATAGCATAACAACTATTCGATCTTATTTAGCTCAATCGAGCCAACATAGTAACATGTTGTTACCAACCAACATATATGTATCCTACTACCTTGTAGGATACATCTCTTATCTTTTTCAGGCAAAGGCTAGAAGCCAACTCTGACATAAAAACAATACCTTTGGGGCACTTGGTTGAGTAAAGTTAGCGATAAAAGAGTCTCAATAAAAAACTCATCTTGGGCAGACATTAAATGCATCCAGCTACTGTCTAGTAAAAAGCCTCCTAGGCAAAGACTTAAGAGGTAACATATTCTATCTGTTGACCAGCTTTGCACCCCTCTTCATCTATTAGGCTGGCGTAGATGAATTTACAGTACAATGTTTCTAATTTAGGATGTTGAATGCTGGAATCTCATGACTCAATGCATGGGATTTGCTTGTGTTCCTGTTTGTACAACTAACCAACTTATTTTATTTTCTCCTAATGAGAGTACAGCTCTCTAATACATAGTTTAATAGTTCTGAGGCTGGCTGTTAGTTAGGTTTCTTGAACTCTGTGGTAGCTCTCATAGAGGCTGATTACATAAACAGCTGTAAAGATTTAGAATCCAAACAATGCTATGTTACGCATGAATGGTGTCCCTGTTTGTTTTTTTGGTGAGCATTGTCAAGGCTACATCTGAAGCCCTTTGTTAAGGATTAGGATTTATTAATAGTAATGAGGCAATTTCATGGACATTCAAATAGTATACTGAGTAGACTGTGCTATTAGTCAAGTTCTTAAACTAATCAAAAAATGACTATAAATATATAAAGTACCAAAAACTATAAAACACAAAAAACCATCGTCATCACCAAGTTCTCTAATTCTATAATCCACTATAATTTGTGGTCTTCGGCATAACTTTTCTTCTTTTGAGTCTAATCTTTTGTAAAGTTAACCAGACCTACTTGCACTTTGTGAAATTAAATTGAGCTCAGCTGTCTCATCCTGTGATCTTAGTATTGATGGATATATTATTTTGGTTCTTAAAGACTCTAAGTCAAATATTTGGTCTAGGCTTTTACATTTAAAAGAATTGTCGGGAAACTAGATTTAAATCCCCTGACCACTTCACTCATTCACCTTTATCTTTGTTCTATATCTCTCTCCTTTTTCTCAAGACTGCACTCTTTTGGATGTTATATCTGATCAAATTGACCTAGCCCTTTCTCCTCATCTTTTAGCAATTATTGTTGTTTTTGGTGACTTTATAGCTAATCACACAGAATGGCTTGGCTCTAATGTCAGTGACTCTGCAGGCATTTAGGCCCACAACTTTTGCCTTTTTCAATCTCTAATACAAATAGTCAACTTTCAAATACACGCTCTCCAGACAATCCGAATCATTCACCTTCTCTAATTGACTTATGTCTAGTTTCTGATCCTAGTCAGTGCTAGGATCATACTTCTGCTACAGCAAGAAAGTCTCAATGGCTGGTGAACTTTAACTTAAATAAGACTCAATAATTTTTAGCTAATCGTTATCCCAATAATTGCGATCTTCCTATATTTATGAATGATAATATACTTGACGAATCATCTACACTTTGGCTCCTATAATTAACTCTTACTTCTGATCTTTCTCGGAAACCATATATCAAATTCATTTCAAAATTAAATAGCATGCATCTCCTTATCGTGCTTGCCACGTTCTTACTACTGATTCTGTCCATTCTTGTATATAATAGTTGCCTAGGGTGAATCTTCCATTGATGACCTTTCTCTTTTAGATAAGGTGCAAAAGCGTAAACAAAGTTGAAGCTGTTCTTGCAGCCAACCTCCGACCATTGTCACATCCTCGTAATGTTGCTTCTCTTTCTCTTTTCTACAATTACTATGATGGGCGTTAGTGTCTCTTGTGCTATCTACTAAAATTCATTCTCATGTTATGCCTTATTCAATGAAGTCCTTTTACTGTGACTGTTCTTAAGTTTACTAAGTTTTCTAATTTACCTTAAATTTACTAAAAAGAAAAAGGTTGATCGCAAATTGAACTTTCTTGATATAATTATTAACTCTGTGAATTATAAATTTAATACTTCAACGTTTTACAAAAAAACATACACAGTTTTACAAACTAATTTTAAAAGCTTTACTTATATTAATTATGAACTAGGACTCATTAAAACTCTGATCAACAGGGCCTTCAAAAAACAGCAAGTTTTCATCTAGATATTGTAAAAATTAAACAAACACTCCAAAACAACTCTTTCCCCGTTAACTTAATTGACAAAACCTTCAAATATTTACTAAACAATTTTATCTCTCCTAAAGAAAATATGTCATCTGCAAAACCATCTGATATACATTACTTTAAACTCCCTTATATTGGAATAATTTTGAAATACATTTAAACACCAATTAATTAAATACATTTAATATATTTTAAAGATAATATAAAAGCAAGACTAGTTTTTACAACTTTTAAAATAAGTAGTATGCTTTCATCAAAATACCCCCTACCCCCAAATTTAAAATCCTTTGTTGTCGATAAATTTGTTTGTTCCGGCTGTAACGTATACATTGGTAAAATCAACAGACACTACACCACAAGGGTTTCAGAACATTTAAATTCAGATAAAGTATCCAATATTTACAAACATCTTACTTCATTACAAAAATGCAAAAACTCAACAAATCATGAATCTTTTTGCTATTATTGACAGAGTTTCTTCATGTCAATTATTTATATTATAAAATGTAATTATGATATTATTTACTATTGTAAAACTATTAAATTTTTAATGCAGCCAAATAACTCGCTTATATATAGGAATTGTAATTTTTTTTTATCTGATGATATCAATTGATGTTGATGAAACATGTTGTTAAAATTTTTATTCATTTGAAAATTATTTACATATATATATATATATATATATATATATATATATATATATATATATATATATATATATATATATATATATATATATATATATATATATATATATATATAATATATATATATATATATATATATATATATATATATATATATATATATGTATATATATATATATATATATATATTTTATATATATTATATATATATTATATATATTATATATATATATATTATATATATTATATATATATATATATATATATTATATATATATATATATTATATATTTTATACATATATATATATGTATATATATATATATATATATATATATATATATATATATATATATATATATATATATGTATACACACACACAGATATATATATATATATATATATATATATATATATATATATATATATATATATATATATATGTATACACACACACAGATATATATATATATATATATATATATATATATATATATATATATATATATATATATATATATATATATGTATACACACACACAGATATATATATATATATATATATATATATATATATATATATATATATATATATATATATATATATATATATATATATATATATATATATATATGTATACACACACACAGATATATATATATATATATATATATATATATATATATATATATATATATATATATATATATATATATATATATATATATATATATATATATGTTTAACTATTGTTATTATATTATTAAGAATAATGTATTTGAAAGAAACGCTAACCTTTAAGAACTACTAAATCCATGAATTAATAGAGTAACCCACTGTAAAGGCAATGAAGTTAACAAAATGAATACCACGTAATAAAGCAATTATAGTAACAAATATAGATATATATCTATCAAACAAGGCACGTGTGATATGTTGTTATTAATATTGCTCCGTAAATGTTTTTAAATGTTGTTCGGCAAAATACGCAAATAAAAATAATCGTTCCGAATGGGATAGGATCTAAACACAACCCAAATTAACCTGGTCAATAATTAAACAAGACCCGCCTACGGCTACAAAACCGGTTAGCGATTTTTAGCATGCACCAAAAGGAGGTGCCATAGATTTTAAAATTTGCAGACTACGGAAAAATTTATTGATATCAACTATGACGCAAAGATTGTCTCAAAACCATCCGAAAATTTTAATACCATGCTTTTGAAATTAAAAATTTCGAACGAAGTTTGCTCTTTAAGTATTTACTTATATTATATTTGTTTATTGATATTTATATTGTATTTATCAAAAAAATTTTAAAGTTGAATAAAATGGACGAGAATAATTTGGGAGATTGTAATGTTTGTGAGATTGTTTCTTCATTAGATCCCAAAGATTTTGTTGGTAAGATTTTATATTTAATGTAAATATATCTGAACAAAAATATTAATAATATTAATATAGTAATATGATATCAACTAATGGCATTAATTTATTTTTATTAGTAATATAAATTAATTAATGTCATTAAGTGTTATTAAGCCTTAATTGCACTGAAACAAAGTTAAACTTATAAAAAAAATTAGTTAAAATGTTATTAACTTTGTTTAATTAACATTGTTTAAATGTTTTTTAAGTATCAAGAATTGATACTTTGTGATAGTATACCTAACGTATATCTTAAAAAATTAATATATTTTGTTTTTTGCTTTTATATTTAATTTATGCAGGCTTCAAGTTTAACTTAAACTTGAAACTTTGCTCTAAGGCACATTCTATTTGCATTTAATTTATGACAATTAAATGCAAAAAGAATGTGCCTAATACATTTTTTAATAAATATTTTACATATGGCAAATATTAGGTAGAAAAATGTATACTTATGAAGTTAAATATTCGGTAAAAGAAACACGTTTTAATTATTTTTTTAAATTTTGATATATAGTTATTATTCAAAATTTTTTATTTCATAGTTTTCATTTATTTGCTATGTGCAGAACCAGAATCAACAACAGTACCTTTTGATTTCGTTGAAAAAACTTACGAAGAACGATACATTTTTAATGCGTATAGAGATGTTTGTTTAAAACTAAAAGAACACCAAATATTGCACACAGTGCATTATGTTTCAGCATTCTCCAGAAGAATGGGAAAGGAATTACAAGGTTTGCAAATTTAAAAAATTTTTACAATCCAACTATTATAATATATATATATATAATAAATATATATAGAAGTATATGTTTATGCATAAAATAAAAGATGTATGTATAGATGTAATTTTAATGTTAGTTATTTGCATTCCCATTTAAAATGCATTTATTTTATTTAAAATTATCTTTTTTTAAAAAATACTAATTTTTTAGTTTTCAACCATTCATTATTTTTGTGTATATAAAATTACAATTTAAAATTAATCAAAGAAAATAATTAAAATTTTGACTGTCCAAAAAAACAATTGACCATCAATTCCATGTGTTAGCTGGTCAAATTGGCTGCTTGACTTCAATTTTTTTTTCTATGCTGCTGTTGCATGTTCTCCAGAAGTCACAAGAGCCTAATTTTTTAGATGAAATACAAAATTTCATGACCTGAGAATAGTGGGTTTATGCGTTAGACAAAACCTTTTTACAATAGTTTCTAGCAATAGTAAACGGACATTTGTTTTCTGGAGAAATGTTTTGCTGATAGTTATGGAAGAAATGATAAGTAAAAAGGTAGAAAAGTAAAAAAAAATTATCAATATTGATCTTTTCTATTCCTTTTATATTTTATATTATACTTCTAGAGTCTATTTTATTAAGTTAAACAATTTTAATGTAAATATTTGTAATTTTAAAAATAAAGTAATTTTTGAAATATTTACCTATTAAAAAATAAATAAAATAAAATAATGCATTAATACCCTTCTATATCCTTCAATCTTGGTTTATAAATAGATATTAAATTATATTTTTATTTTTTCATTTTCTGAAATAAGTTGTTTTAGATATAATGGCAATATTTATTTATTTGTTTTATAGAATTGACAAAAAAAAATCATAAAGTTTTTTTTGAAGATAAAGATTTTCCCTATTCTGGAGTTCCTTTTATTATATCTTCACAGTCTACTCTTGACTGTCAACAAGGGAAAGACCGAAATGTTAAAGTAAAGGCTGAGTACAGAGAGAAAAAAAATGATGAAGCGGTAAATTACACAACAGCTTTAAAGTTCGTGCTAAAAAAAAATTATTAATTTTTTTTTTATTGTTATCAATATCTTATCTTTAACATTTAATACATATCGATAAAACTGTTTTTTTCAATTATGAGATTTTTTAGTTTTTTCTTCTTATAAATTTATTATTATTTATTTTAAGTTCTTTTAAATAATTTATCAATTACTGAAATTAAAAATTATTTTTCATTATCTCTACCAAGTTTTATTGTAAAATTTTTATGTTCATATTTGGTTTTATAACTAGTTTTGTTTAATTTTAAATTGTATATTATTGTTGCATTCCAATGTCTCACTTTGTAACAGCAGTTATATAACTAACAGGTAAAATCTCAACGGTAACATTTCCCTGCCATGGTATTATATCTTTTAAAACCTCAAGTGTTTTGTTTTGAAATTTTTTTTATGTTTCTTGCATTTGCGCATCTCACTCTCTTTTAAGTTGTTTTCTATCAAAAATATTTGAATCACTAATCGCTTCAAAGTTAAGGGGCTTCATTTCAAAATCACCCTTGTTAAAATTATCCCTATTCGATTCTCCATCTTCGCTTCAATCCACATTACCATTATCAGTTAGTTAAATATATTCACCCATCTTATTGTTTTTTTTAAAACAATATATTAGATAGTACTTCTGTCTCTAATTATATATAAAAAAAAAGGCTTTGAGTCTTTCATCTTGCTATGGACTTTGCTAAATCCAAATCTTATTACAAGGTATGGATGCAGAGCTGATATCACATAGGCAAATTATAATAGTTAATCTTAACTCTTAAACTGTTGCATCAATATCTTGTACTACTTTATTAGTTCGTTTTCCTTTTTTATCCCAAAACATGGTCGTTGTCATAAGTCATCAAGAGAGGTGTGTCCTATGACCCTCACCATAGCCGTCTTTTACATCTACTACTCATTGGTAATTGTTTTATTTTCTGGTTCATCTAAGCCTGATTATTAATTCATTAAATTGCAGTAATGGAATAATTGTCATGAGAGCTGCTTTTTATTTTTTGTTGTTGAGGACAAACCCATCTCTAACAGGTACAAAAATTATAATTTAAAATAAATGCATTATATGTAAATAAATGTTATATTTAATTATTTTTTTCTAGGTATGTATTTTTTATGATAAATTTAAACATTTGAAACTATTTTTAAAATAGTTTCAAATATTTAAATTTATCATAAAAAGTCTTTTAAAAATTTTTTATTGAAAGATAATTTTTTGCATGTTTAAATTATGAATAAGTTTAGTCTTCCTAGGATTTAATTGCCTTTTTTTTACAAAGTTTTAAAGTTTTTGTTTTTTTTTAAACTTGACTTTTAGTCAAAGAATGAAATGATTAAGTATTACAATTTTGAAAAGACAATGTTTGTTTTTTTAGACAATTTTTTTTTGCAACTTTTTGAAAAAAATGTTTAAACAACTAAAAAGTATTATCTTTTTTTCTTTTCAATAATTTAAATAAAATTTGTTTATTTATTAAACAATAAATAGGAGTAATATGTAAAAGTGTTTTGCATAACATTAATAAAGCGTTTCAAAAGATAAGTTTTAAAGTAATTTCTTTTAAATGCAATTAAAAACGTAACAAAAAGTAATTTTAGCTTGAGTTTTATTTTAAAGCTTTTAATTTATTTTTGATTTACTTTACTTTAAATTTTTATAAATATAATAAAGTATTTATTTTATAGAATTTAATTTCCTTTGGTCAGAATGTCTGATTACTTTATATATATATATATATATATATATATATATATATATATATATATATATATATATATATATATATATATATATATATATATATATATTCTAATATATAGGCAAGAGACCATTCTTGTAGAAAACATAAAAATATTGTGCAAGTTACAAAGAAATTCGATTGCCCTGCAAAGGTTCACATAAAAGAAATACTAAAATTTCCAGAGTTTAAGGTATAGTGCTTTATATTTTTTAACAAGCGAAGATGATACTTATGATTTATAATATGATAATATTTAATAAAATTCCTGATTAAAGTAACAAGTTTAGGTTACAAAAAGAGAGTTGACTCTCTTTTTGTAAATAGATTGGGCAATCTGCCTAAAGTAGTTTGGTATCTGTCCATGTAAATCTTATCAATATATATTATACTTTACTAGAACCCTTTTATAAAATGTCTTATCAACAATAAATTTATACTTTTTTTATAATAAATGTTTATTATCACCAAAAGCTATTCTAGATCGTTTTCAACAGCGTTGACCGTATTTGGGCACCAATTTAGGCGCCGTCTAAATGAAAAATCAAGGACCTCTTTCTTTTTTTAATATTTTTTATGGCAAATATTGTTTTTTCCGATTATATCAGGTTATACTAGGAAAAAAATATGGGATACCACCACCCATATTTTTTTCCTAGTATAGCCTCTGATCACAACTTTGTATGTGTTATTAAACATGTATTTGTACATTTTCTTAAAGGTTTATAGAGATTCTGAATGGCTCAGGAAAGACACATCAAAAAAACTCTGTTTAGCTTTGACTGGAAACAAAAATATGATAGTGTCTAGAAAGTATGTCTTGATTATACCAGATATTACTGTGCACAGAAACCATTTAATTGGCAATGTAAGTTTTATTACGTATTTTTAACAATATCTTGTGTGTTTTACTTCTTTTTAACAATTAACTATACTTTTTAAAGGCAGCAGGTCTTCTTCAACCTATTTCAGACGAACTTGTTATCAAAATTGGAGAACTAGTTAAAGTTGGAGTAAATAGTGTAACAGAGATGAGGCCGCATCTGGAGAACTTTGTTCACATCAATTTTAGTTCAAGAAGTATGCCAAATAAATCCAACAAACGCTTTTTCCCGTTGGATGAAACTATCCGCAACCATATGCTAAAAGCTAGAAAAAAAATGTGTCACTCCCTAATAGACCAAGAGTGTTTAAATAAAAAGGTAGCAGAATGGGCAAATAATTATAAAAAAGCTTTTATAAAGTTTCGTCCCAAAGGTGAAAACAATTCAGAGGACAATAATCAAGACCTTCAAAAGTCCTTGTTGTTCATTTTTCAAGATAAATGGCAAAGAAGGTTACTCTTGCGTTATGGCAATGAGCTATCATTTCTTGATGCAACATACCGAACTACTCGATATGCACTTCCTCTCTTCTTCCTAGTTGTTAAAACTAATGTTGATTATCAAATAGTTGCCATTTTTGTATGTAAAAATGAAACAACAGAAGCCATTAAAGAAGCACTAATATTTATTAAAAAATGGAATCCTTCATTCCAACCTAAATACTTTATGACAGACTATTCAAATGAAGAGATAAATTCACTTGAGTCAGTGTTTCCCGGTAAAAATTTTTGTTATAAAAGATATTTTTTTTAAGTAGAGATTCAATATTTATTTTATTTGGAAAGTGAACCGTTTTGTTATGAAAAATTGTTCTTAGTTAAAGAAATTATTATTAAAAAGTTTTTATTCCTACAAATAAACTTGCCTTTTAATTTATTATTTTGCTGTTTTGTTTATAAACCTTTGTAACTGAAATGTTCACCTTGTGATATTTGCACTACTATCATATCATTGATAATAAAATATCTGTATATAATAAAGGTATAAGAGCTTTAATAAAATTTGAAGTCAAACAGAAAAAAAAAATTGTATCTTTTTTTTTTTATTATTCTTAAAAAAAAGTCAGTTAGCTAAAATATATAGAAAACCGGTTATATACTAATTACTACATTTATAACAGCAACTGCTTTTTTGTTTTGTTTTTATAAAGTTAAAAACCCAAAAAAGTAGTATAATGTGTTGACTAAAAAAAAATTATTCATTTTATCAAATTAATTACTTCTTATTGTTCATCAATAATGAATAAATACTTTCTTTAAACAAGTTTTTATGGAGTATTGTCATATTTTTAATGTAGAATGTAGTGTATTTATTTGCGATTTTCATCGTGAGCAAGCTTGGGAGCGTTGGCTATCGAAATCTAGTAATGGGTGTTTAATTGTCAAGGAAGATGTCAAGGTTATGTTACGTCGAATAGCTCATTCAAAAACAATTGAGATTTGTAAAGAAGCTGAAAAAGCATTAAAAGATTCATCTGAGTATAATAATCATCCAAAACTAAAAGAGTATTTAAAAAATACTTGGTTGTGTATCAAAAAGGTTTGTGTTAATGTTTTTGAGAATATAAAATAGTTTAGTTTTCCTAAAACATGCAACTAACAATGCAGTCTTCTTTGTTTGACAAGTGCTTTTGCAGTTTTGCACTTGCCAACATGTCTACCAATACTACGACTGGCATTTTTTTAAGCGCTCGCTAAAAAATTTCTAATGTGTTTCTAAATTGCAACAAATCTTTTTCTTAATCAAATCATAATTAAAGAGGTACAAAAAACAAATATTTCTTATAATTGCGCATGCCAGGCAAATTGTTACTAAATAAAAGTAAATTTCAAACGAACCATGTCAAAAATTCCAGTCAATTCATTTTTTATTTTATTTTTAAATTTCAAACATGTTTTTAAATTGCAGCAAATCTTTTTCTTAATCAAATTCTAATTAAAGAGGTACCAAAAACAAATATTTCTTAAAATTGCACACGCCAGACAATTATTTACTAAATAAAAGTAAATTTCATTTTGAGAAAATGTTGTGAATTCCAGCTAATTCATTTTTTATTTTATTTTTAATGACTTCATTCTCATTTTGAGTTTTTATAGGAGGAACATGTAAGGTGGATGCATGTTATGTTACTATTACAACATATGTTTATCAAAATAAATTAAGTTTATGCTGAGGTGTTAAGCAATTTTAATAACATAAAAATTGTTAAGAATACAAAACATATAACTTTAATATTTATGTCATGAGCTGTCAAAATTATTTTGCTATTATCCTAAACTTGGCTAGTTTTAGAGATGGGTATCCGCATACAGACAAGATAGACTTTTGCTGAATGTGAATACCAACAACGGAATTGAGCGTAAAAATTAAAGTTTTAAATACAGTTTCTTAGAAAAAAGAAAAAATTCTTCCCTTACCGCTATGCTTAGCATATGCATTGAAGAATTCCTTCCACACAAGTATGACAGGTTAGTCAGTTATTGTCAACCCTATACTACCATTACTTTCAATAATAATAGTAACAGTAAACAATGGTAACAATAAATAGTATTCTCCTGAATATATTAGATTGTTGTCAGATTTCAAAAATTATTTTAAAGTCTAACTGTCTTTCTATGTATTTTGGAAATTCAAGAATTCTATTTACTGTACTGTAAAAAACAATCGTATTTTAGCTATGCCAATGAAAACACAAGAGCTAACTCATCCTACAGAAAGTACCATAAGAAAATACCAACATATTTAACTAATCGCCCACGCCCTTTGGTTAATCATTGCATGCGAATGATTGACAAATTGCATGGTGTAGATCTAACAGGAATTAATGCTGTGACAGATAAATTATACAATGTTGCATCATTAAAGTCTAATAGTCGGGTAATATACCAGTGCTATCTAGGTGATGATGAACGTTTACCAACTTGTTCTTGTCCATCATGGTTTAATTCTGCTTATCCATGCAAGCATTTTTTTGCTATATTCTTAAAAGAAAATCTATCTTGGTCTGCTTTTGGTATGGCTTATCGAAATTCTCCTCATTTTGTTTTGGATTTATTGTCAGAAGAAAGTAGTCTAACAAATACTGAATATTGTCCGGGTTCTGTTTGTTTTGTTAATGATTCCACAAATGTCATCAATGAAAATGCAGCACCACAAACAATAGTTGATTTAGATCAAATTAGGCAAACATTACCAATTAATAATAATCAACCATTTAAAACTACTTACCACACTGCAGCAGAATGTAGAGAATTATTGAATGAAATTAGTCAGTTGTCATATTTATGTGACTCACAAAAAAAAGATACTTTATTTGAAGAATTATTAAAAGTTAAAAAATGCTTGTCTGAAAGTCTTCCAACTGAAACAGGGATTCTTCTTCGTCCAGTAGTTAAACCAGAAACTTGGAGCAAGTCTGAATCAAAGTTGCCAAAACTTATTAACATCCCAGTTACACAAAAAAGAAAAACGATGAAATGAGTTGGTGCTAGATATGACTTAAGTAAAGCAGCCAAAGAAATTTGTGTAAAAGTGGAAAAGTCAGAATCTTGCTATTCTGAGATTGTTACTGATTACTCAATTGAAGAAAATTGCAAAATCTTTACAGTTAGCCATGAGTCAATTAAAGAAACTACATCTATTGAAAACAACAAACACCTTCAAGCCACCATAAGCCAGTTAAGTTAATAACGATGTCCAATTTCAAACTAAGTTTCAATGTATTCAAAGTCTCAAATCATCCTTGATTGTGAAGCTGAACTATTTGAAATTGAAAAATGTCAAATGCTTAATGAAAATTATTCATTTTAGCCAGCAAATGATGTCAATTCAGTTAGAAATTAACGTGGGTTTACAGGATCCCATTAAGGGTCAAATCAATGCTTTTAATACACATGAGTCTACTCCTTTTGTTCAAGTTCTTCATGACGGGAATCTTCACTGGATTTGTGTGAGCACATACAATTGTAAGCCAGGTGAGATTTTTATGTTTGACAGCCTTTTCCATGGCTCTATATCTGTCGAGACGAAAAAGCAAATATGTTCTATTTTACATTGCAAGAAAAAGTGTATATTAGTTAAAGTATTACCTGTTTAACAACAAACTAATTTTTTAGATTGCGGATTGTATGCCATTGCCTGGGCTTGGCAAATCATAGAAAATAAAAGTATACCATCAACTTCCATTATGTTTGAACAAGGGCAAATCATCAATCAAGGAGAAATCATCTCCTAAGCTGTATAAAAAAGAACCAGTTAGATCTATTTCATTCACTGAAAATCCCTTACTGTTTAAAAAATGTTTAGCAAAGTACTTTCGCATCCCTCTACATTGCTCATGTCGTATGTTTTGGACCAATGAAGATGAACAAATCTTTAATAGGTATATTATGGCATTAACATAACTCTAAAATTTGAAATTTAATTTTAATAAATCATAAGTTGTAACCATTATTTTAGATTTTAACATAATTATTATCTTTAGTATTAAGTGTATCTACAAAGATTTTTGTAGGCATTCCTTATTTTACATTAAAGCAATGACTTTAAATTGCATGTTTATTAATTTAAAGGTATCCTAAACTTCCAGCACATTTTGTGTTAAAGATAATGTTAAAAAAAAAAAGGTTTGAACCAAGTTTTTTTGATTAAAAATAAATAATGAATACATATCGCGAACAACTAATGTTATTGTTTTACCCGAAGCTCGTCTTCTCCATTTTATTCAATAACTCTGAGTCTTCAAATTATACGTTGCAATCTACAGACTTAGGCGATTCCTTTGAAGCGCATATAATTCATAAAAGTTTTAGTATTTGACGTCACGGTAGTCTTTTAACAAATAAAAAGTGTAAACACACAGAGCTGCGTTTTTCTACTTTAATTCAAAAAGTACAATGTAGTGTTTTTTTATTATACAGCAAAACAAATTTATTTGTATTATTTTTCCAAACATCGCAAAAAAAATTTTGTATAATGTAAAAACAATAAATTATTTTTATTTTATAGGAGCAACTTATTTTTTACAGATATCTTAATAATTTTTAGATTTATGTATTTTACTTATATTTCTATTAATTTTAAATTAAAACAAATATTAAAGTTTTACTTACCAATCTTATGATTTTCATTTGAGTATTTTACAATATATAAAACGTTTTACATACGGTCTCTCGTTTCTGTGCAAGAGAGCGCAGTATTATATAATGTGGTTCTTACTTATTTTTATTTAAACAATGGGAACTATTTTATAACTTCTGGTTATTTTTACGCTATGACATTTTTTTGTTTTCCCGTCAAAAAAAAGTGTTTATTAACAATTTCATAAAGTGACAGTATTAATTAGAGATATTTAATGAATTGTTAACTTTTTATTATAAAAATTTTTTGATTACGTTGATTTAATTTAAATTGCTAAGTTTGCCTATTCCGATACGGATAAAAAGGAAATATCATTTTATTTTACATTTGATTTTTGATGAAACTTTTAAAATGTCAGCAACTCCATACCACTTAGAACCTGTTAAGGTTATGAAGAAAAAGCACAAGAATACACTAAACAATACAGTTGACAGTAGTATCAGATATGAAAATAGGTGAAAGGATATGTGAGATCCTGGTTTTGCATTAAAAGTACAATTAATAACAACACATGTTGGCATTATAAATTTTGATTATAAGTTTACTGTTCAATATTTTATAACCATCAAATTAAAAACATGAAGTTATATTTTCGCCCATTTTATACCACTAATATTTAACAAAAATACAGACAAATTATTATTAAATAACGCAATAATTAACACATTAATTAATGGCAATAATTCAAGTTAGATGGTAATTTAAATTGTTAAAATGTCATAATGCGTGTTAAAAAACATATTTGGTATTTCCCTATTTGTGTCGTATTTGGCATTTGTCTCTTAACATGAACACAAATAATAAATACAAATTTTTAAGAAATTTTCTCTTCCAATTTGCATTTATTCAAAGAAAAGTTACTATTAAACTTTTTTACTATTAAACTATTTCGACGTGATTATTCAAACTAATTTTTTGTGTTTGACTTTCCGAGCTTCATGCAAAACAAGTTGAAACGAAATATCGTCTAACCAAATAAAAATGCTGTTACTAATTTTATACGGTTAATTAATGTAAAAAATTTTTTCTCAGAGTCTTGATTGAGATAATAAATATTCATAATTTATAAACATTAAATATATGGCGCAATAACAAATTATAACAACGAACCAGCACAAAATATTAGAGGTTTTTAATATCTTTTTAAATGTTAAAAATAGAAAAAGAAAACTAAACAAATAATCAAAAAAAATTTGAATAAAAACATTTCCAGAATTTCATTTGTAAAGTCTACCCTGACGTCAAATATTAAAACTTTTATGAATTAGACGCGCTTCAAAGGAATTGCCGAAGTCTGTAGATTGCGACGTATGATTTGAAGACTCAGAGTTATTAAATAAAATGGAGAAGGCAAGCTTCGGCTAAAACAATAACATAAGTTTTTCTCGGTATGCCCTCATTATTTATTTTTAAACAAAAAAACTTGGTTCAAACCTTCTTTTTTTTTTAATTATCTTTAATATGAACACAAGATGTGTTGGGAGTTTGGGATCCCTTTAAATTTATTGAAACAATTAATATGTATAAATTTTTAAGGCAAATGGCTCAATTTTTTAATTGCAAAAATTGCTTTCATCGTGAATGCGAAAGAATTCCTCAAAGTGCATTTGAAAAAAAAGATGAGCTTTGGAATTGTCATGATTGCTTCAAAGGATGTACAATGAAGTAATATTTTTAAAAAATTTTTACAAAAGCAAAAGCTTTTTGAATGCAGTACTTAAGTAATTTTTTGGAAAAGATGTCCCAAAAAAGACTGCTTTTAATCACTATATGTTCCTGGTTTTAAAGAAATTAAATGGCCACAGAATTTAATGTTTTAAAACTGAACATTTTTTACTGTTTCTTAATTATGTAATACCAAAATCGTAATCATTAATTTAAAACTATCAAATAAGTTTCCAAGGGTAATTGGCTAAAATGCAGTATAATATAAGAAAGAGTCATTATTTTGTGGGTCATTACTTTATTGAAGATTTGCAATTAATAAGTTGTTAACATTAAACAATTTTTATTTTGTTTATAGAAAGGAAACCAACAAAGCTTCATTCGAACCAGCTTAGCGCAAATGGTAAAAACATCACTTCTAAAAACGGTTATTTTCATAGCCACATAGATTTTTAAAAACATTAAAGCATCAGAGCATTGAAATGTTATGACAAAGGATCAGTTTAACATTGTTCATTGAAAGATGTTGAATTAGAAGAATTGATGAAAAAATAAAAATTATGTAAGCTAATTTTTAAAAAGTCATATATCTTGGTATTTTTATTGCTTTATATGCATTATATGCTTAACAATAATTAAAAGATGTGTTATCTGAACAACAATAGAAGTTATCTTTTTAAATCTCCCATTTCCGTTTAGAAATCTTTGAAACAACTTCAAGCATATGGATTACATCTTGTACATTACTAATATTAGCATCAAAACAAGTTAAGAGTATGGATGACAAATCTTTTTTCCCCATCAATTCAGATTCTTGAGAAAATCCTTGCTACATCATACTGTTAGCAATGATTTTGATAGTTAAACTTCAGGAACTGAT